TGGCAGAGATTTTATGTAATGAGGAAAGTGTAAGGCAGAACACTACCAATGTGCAGAGAAACGCCACGTAAACGGCCCTCTTCATTCTTTTTCTCTCTCTACTACATTGTCATTAATATTTTCATCAATTTTTATATTCGTATTCATATCAAGCAATATTATCAGTATAAATGAAAATGAGTGTGCGTCAATGGCACAGGGGTAGAGTGCTGGCCAACCACGCAGAGGTGGTTTGAGGCTCGATCCTCAGCCACCGACGCACTCCTGCTTTACCTCGATAAGCCAGTAGTAAGATTGGTAAAGAGGGAAGGTTGGACATGAGGCGGCTAGCAGCAACCTCATCCTGTAAAAATAAACACCGCTGCTACAGAAACTTCAAGCTTGTAGCTTGAAGACGCCCTATGTTTCACTGGAAACGTGAGAGAAATAATAAAAATTGAGAATGAGGATCAAGAGGGCTTTGTGTGTTTTTGGAAGTGTGTGTGGGCAGTTGTTGCTGCCCGACTGCCCACACCATGGAAGTTGATTGATACTTTGAGTACATGAAACAGAAAGATAGTTAGTGTTGCTTGACCTCAGAGTTCAGTGGACAACTTCTTGAGGCCCGTCACACACACAGGGCCTGTATGAACTAGTGTCTTGGATTATTTCCGTACTAGTATTCTTACCACTGGTTACGGACCACCGTAGGTGGGGTAAGTCGGGATGTATAATTTTTGGGGTCGACCTTTTCTAACCCCCTCTCCATAGGCTGGAGAGACAGTATAGGTGGCTGGCATGCTAGTCGTCTGAGAGAAACACCTTACTACTGTTACATCCCTGTTCCCCAGCAATACGATTTTGCCCACAGACCCACGGCATAGTGTAAGAAAGATTCTTAGATGTCTTAATCAAGAGTACTAATACAGGAAATTTAGAAACACGAGTGTACAGAATGTCAAAGCACAGACCAAATACTCAACTATACCAGCAATAACTCAATTACTTACAAAAGAAACTGTGTACAGACATTGTTTTAAATTGTTTAAAAGAATTCAAACACACACTGTAGCACTCCAGCGTTCTCTGTCTGTCTCTGTCTGTCTGGATTCAACATAGAACTTGGCACCGAAGTGCAGCAGTTCGAGTTGCCACGTTCCAAATAGCACACAGAGGTAGACAACAAGATGAGTGAAGAGAATCAATAAAGTTTGACAAGTATAGGAATGAAACAGAATGGGTAATGGTAGAAAGGAATATGAAAGATTAGAGAGACTGAATACATCTGCGCTGGCCATTGACAACGATTTTGAGCCATGTCACCTATTGTCTCCAGCCATTGATTCCTAGAGTCCCAAGGGCCCCAACCCAGAAGTCTGCATCTCGCTACCTGACTCAGTTTAACTGTCAAGGATTTCATGGATTGATGAGGCCATGTTTTTGTTTGGCCACCACTTACTCTTTTCCAACCTGCACCTATATCAGCTAGTAATGCCTATCGTCGGGGGAGGCGATGGTTAGGCATGCTCAGCACGTGGCCTAGCCATCTCAATCTATGTAACTTTATAGCCTCGTCGATTACACTCCAGCGTTGAAAAGAATGGAATAAAACTACCTACTAAAGGTCTTTAAAAAGAATGGATATCCTAATCACAATTTTATCAAAACATGCTTAAAATCGAGTCCCAAGACCAACAACACAAGCCAACATCAAAGACCACAATAAAATTCATTCTACCACATATAAAAAATATCTCTGAAATGACAGCTAGAATATTGAAACCGTTTGAAATAGGTATAGCACACAAGCAAGTCAAATCACTTAATTCGATATTGTGCAAACTGAAAGATCTAACAGAAAAAGGGAGATAAAATTAATACGATTTACAAAATAAATTGTATGAGCTGTAGCAGGCATAATATCGGTCAACATATTGGGTATCCCCTTCGAGTGTGAATCCAAGAACACAGATTGGCTGTAAAAAGACATGTGATTTATATTCTTTCTTATCAATGCATGCGGATAATTATGGACACCGATTGAATGATTGGGATAATGTGAAAATTCTAAACAGAGGAAACACCAAAAGTGTAGTCAGGGAATTCCTAGAAGCCTGATACTCAAATGAGTATGCAATTAACAAACACGTTAATATAGACGAAATATACCAACTACTAAAAAGTTAATCATGTGACCAGAAAGTTTAAAATCCAAGTCAATAGAAAATATTATTATTATTATTATATCCTTTAATTCTGGGAGGAACATACGGCTTCAGCCGCGCATCTCCTTTGCGTTCGGTTTTCTGCCAACTTTTTCACCCCGCTCCAAGTCTGCGCACACGCTTTCACCTCCTCTTCACGTGACCTCCTCCAAGTCACCCTCACACTGACGACCAACTTCCCGCTTCCCTTTCGGGTCCCACTCGAGCGATGGCTTGTCTGGTGATGTCACTTGATGGTTTCCTCAGAGTATGGCCATCCAATCCATCTCCATTTCTTCCTGCCTATTTGCTGCAAAATCGGTTCCTGCTGTGTCGGTTCGCTCATTGCCAGAGATCCATGCCTGTTGCTGATGTTTTCTGGCCGGCCATCTGATCTTCAGTATTGGGCGAAGACATCTGTTAATGAAGGTCTGTAGTTTGTTTGAGATGCTGTTAGTGACGCTTCAAGTTTCTGATCTGTATAATAACACTGACTGACTTCACATTGGAGTTGAGACTCAGGATCAATTTGAGTGCTGTTGACCTCCACACAGACTTGAGAGTAATGAAAGCTTGTTTGGCTCTCCCAATTATTGCTTTGATGTCCTCATCAGTTCCGTCCGCCTGTAGTTGAAACGATGCTTCCCAGGTCGGTGGGTAAAGGAGGTTGTTTCTTTCAGGTTCCTCCCATTTATGATGGCTGATTGTTGCTTGTTGTTGCTGTTGCTGTTGGTGTTGGCCAGGAATCTTCATCACCTCTGTTTTCTCTATCTTCACTTGGAGTCCTGTCTTGTCTGGATGCTTCTTTTTTCGCCAACTTGTTGATTTTCACTTCCATATCTTCCAGTTTGTGGGAAATCAGACACATATATCATCAACGAAGCCCAGATCCTCCAAGTTTTTTGTGTGAATCCATTTTATGCCTTTTTCCTCGTTGCCCGTTGTTGTTGGCATTATCCAATCTACTGCAATCAGGAAGATCATTGGTGATAGTAGGCAACCTTGCCTCACTCCCGTCCCACAATAAATATGTTTCGCAGTTTTTTGGTGAGAAACACCACAGAAATAAGAGTTATATATAACTAAGTTATTGTAACATAGTAATCAAAAAGCACGTCAAGGTTGGATCCAATAGAAAATGATCAATACATATGTAAAGGTGGTTACCGGGAGACGCAATTCTACCACTCATGGAAAAAATTTAAATCATTTCACTTTATGCTAAATATTACGCTGAAGGAGGATGTTGTCCAGAAGGGGGACGGCGAAAGCTCCGCAACTAAACCAACCAGCTCAGAGAACACTATAAATTGCAAATCATCCAGGTGAGCTACAAATCTTCTCTATTAATCCAATAATATTGTACTAATTAGTGAAACTTTCATATTTGTACTAGCATACTGTTTGGAATAAAGCTATTATTGGGTCATAAGAGCTATTAAGAAGACAATTGCAGCGAAAAAAATTTTCTTTTTGACGAAATCATCATCTAGGTAGCTGTACATTCGTGTATTTATATCAAATGGATGTGAAAGTTCCAGAATAATTTTCGGTTAAGGGTCGAATTAATAAAAATTAAAACTAGGAATTAGAATGCCATAATAAACAGGGGAATGGATAAAACAAACAAAGTAGCATCATACTAACTAAGAAGACTGACATTGTGCAATTAGGGGTTAGAAATGTAGAAATAACAAAATAGACAGGATGTTTGGATAAAAAACTAATGTGATGATGGATTAAATACGTAGAAATAGTGAAATGACAAAATAAACACGAAGTTCGGGTAAGAAAATATGGTAGTGTAAACAGGGATTAGGAAAAACTTTAAAAAATAACATGAATAAACAGGAAGTTTAGATAAGAAAGGCGATGGGATGGTCATTAGTAAAAAAATTACCTGTCTATGATGCCATGGCAGGGACAGGGGTTGGACGTATTTCTTTTGTATACAAAGCGTGGTTTTGAGCTTTTGTATAGCTAGTGCCTCGGCTATGCCCAGATGTCTTGATTTCACTCCCTTTGATAAGTTTCATTGAATTTTGTATATTACTTTGAAGAATTTTTCGAAAGGCGCTGAATGTCCTGAATTGACCAGATGTTCTGTCACTGAACTGTATACACGCTTTTGGTCTGCTTTTCCTAACCAGGCTGGGTAGTGTTCACCAGCGCGTTTTTCAAGTCGGCGCATGGTATGGCCAACGTACTCAGTTCCACAAGAGCAAGTGAACTGGTATATGCACGTTGAGGTGGCCAAATACAACAGCTTGTCTTTCAGGTTCTGGCTGAACAGTTTCGTACAGGAAAACGTCAGTCGTAGTCTCGCGGCGAAGTATGTTTTTTGCTCAGTGATTTGGAGAGGCGTTTACGAAGGATTTCTGCTTCACTATCATCTTTGAATTCTAGATTAAGCAGAAGTATTTTCTTTGGGATGGATTGGACTTGTTCGGAAGTCTTCTTAGATTTAAAATTCTTTGTCTATGAACCTGGGCGGGAAACCGTTTCCTATCAGGGTTTTTCGGAGATTACGCAGTTCTTCTTCAACCACTTCTTCGCTGCATATCTTTTGAATCCTGGGAGATTATTCTGGAACTTTCCCATCCATTTGATATAAATAAATACACGAATGTACAGCCTAGAAGATGACTTCGTCGAAAACAAAATTTTCTTCGCTGCAATTGCCTTCTTAAAGCTATTATTATTATTATTATTATCATTTGACTTCAGGTTTAAAAACTGATTCATATTTCTATAATGCAGTTATAAGTGCATTTTTAAAAATATTTCATTTTTATGCCTTACTTTTATTTCTCCCAGTCAAGATGGGCATCAAGTCGACAAGGTTTAGAAAAGATAACAAGTAAACCATATATACGCAGTGATGTGAATGGAACTCAACTGCAACGTTATTTCACATTTCCTATCTATTATCGTGTACCATATTATGAAGATGGCTATTGGACTCAACCATACTTTGATTGTGATGGTATGGTGAAAGATTGGATTATCACCTATGCAACTCCGTTCTTTGGAGTTGTTGGTGAAGAAAGAGCTTTGAGATTTATGTAAGTCGATGAATGTTTTGCTTATTAAAAAAAATTAAATTTTATATTTTTGTTGATATCTGGTCATCTCATGAAGAGAGAAGGGAAGGTGTTGGGGCAAGCCTATTCCAGTAGAGAACAGTTTCAAGAACTGTATTGTATTTAGATGACACGTTTGGAGGGGATGCAGATTTTGTTGGTCGACACGTTAACCAGTTTGTTTTCACGGTCAACAGATAGATGATTTCATCTATATTCAGAAGATTGGGGGAAGGAATGGAATTCTTCAACTATCTAAATATGTGGTTATTTGGTTTAATGGTGGCTAATAGTGGGGTTTATGACATGCGTTTCGTCCTTTTTGGGACTCATCAGCATGGATTTACCTGCATCTCGAGTGTGTGAGCCTCTAACAGAGCACGCGTCACCTCAAATACCATAAAATTTTGAAGTATTGGTTTTATAGGGATTTTGTTTTGTTTAATTGGTTGGAGGATTTCATCACTCACCCTGGTGGGTGCGTACTGTGAAGAGTCCTGAATCAGGACGAAACAGCTGTCCAATACTCCCAGATGGTTTTCCCATAGTTCTCTAACTGATGTCAACTCATGATGAAATCCTGTAACCAATCAATGAAATCCCTACAAACAAATACTATTTATTTTGTCACTTTATAACTAGTAATCTGTTATTCTACGTGAAAAATGTATCTGCTGCATAACTGGTCATTAATGTAATGACAACAAATATTATACTTTATAATTGTAAAAACCTGATAAGGATTTATTGAAATGAATATGCTCTTCGTTCGGACTGATTTCTAATTTAAAAAAATAACGATTTATTGATTACTAGATTATAATTATTATAATTACCAGTAGTATTGTGACAACAGAAGACAAAAGTCACGCAACATATCGTTTACTGAGAAAATCAAGAGATATTTATTGATTTTTATGTACATTATTATTAGCGTTATTATTAACAGAGAAGCAGCGTCTCCTGATTGGTTGTTTTCCTGCTGAAGGTTATTCTGTCATCCCTTTGTGCCGGTTTCTTTGAAGGTCAGACCATACATATGTGAATCGTATCCGCTCACGCTAAGTCTGCTGTGATTGGTTGTTGAGTTAGTCTTTGACCTTGTTTTTTTCTCATAACCAAGATTTCGGAAGTAAACGTTATAATAATAATTTGCTTTGTTTTTCTCTACCAATTTTGGCTAACAGACAGCTCTCACCACAGTAGTATACCTTCATATATATATATATATATAATCATTTCTAATATATCTTTTATTCAGGGGTGTTGTAACAGCTTCTGTGAAACTGTTATCTCTGGATATAAACCAATGTCCACAATCATTTTATGCACCGAATTTCTTTAAGAATACAGCAAGATGTGATTTTCGAAGTACATATGTAAGTTTTATGTTTCATTTCCTGTCAATTCCACCCAGTCATTGTATTGTCTTTTGGATGTCAGCGATAACTGAGATAACTGATTTCATTGACTTTTAGAGAAATAAAACGAAGAAGAGAACAAGGTTTTGTTTTTTACATGTAAAATGATTACGTGCTAAGTGACATGGTTTAAGAGCAAACTGTCTGATACAGGGAACAAGTACACAAACTGCTTTCGAGAGTGAATACCATGATAAAGAAATCAACCAACAAAGAGAGAAGACATATTGTCAGTAATAAAATTCGATGTAGTAAGAAACTTGATTTAAGAGAGGAATACTTGAAATTTCACAGAGAATTTGTGTTTATGTATGCATGTGTGTGTGTGTGTGGGGGGGCTCATTGTATTGATTTGTCTCTAGAAAGTACCCAGTGTCATGCTTGTAGTTCTTAATATTGGTGCTGTTGAGTTTGCGGTACGGAAACCAGGCTAGGTGATTCGCCATTGCAGTGCAGTGCACTCTGAAGTGATGTTAGATGATTGGAGTCCAGTGTAACATGGAATTCGTGCTTACTAACACTAATCAGCAAGGCGTGCCTGAAAGCTTGAAGAAAGTGATCTGAGTCAGGATCAACAGCAAGGGCTAGACCAATGAACATACCCACTACAGTCCTAAAGGAGGTCAGTTATCAAGCCCGATAGCTCATGATTAGGTGACACTGATTTTAATTTCATAGGGGACATTATGCCTTTGAGCGATAAAGACACGTCTTGTTGGTGAGTGCCAAGAAATACGAAACTTTGTTCTAGAGCTTCCGGGAGAATGCATCCAACCGTGTAACATCAGCCTGGCTCATTAGCTTAAACACTGAACTCTCAGTCAATGAATGCTTGGCTCGCATATCACTCCGCACCCACTTCAGCATGATCCCTCAGCCACCATAAGCGTGTTCCATTATGGATAAAATTTATTTTGATAAAGTTTCACAGTGCACTATACAGTAATATTTACTGATGCGACCACGTTTCAAGCACAATTTATCACTACCACTCATAATCATATCAGGGCACTACTCACACAACTTTCTAACTCCATTTATATAATTCCATTCTTCTTCATTGTTTGACTTGATTGGTAGTAGTATTTCCCATATTTCCGGTATGAGTGATGAGTCAATCCCATTGCATATGAGTTTATATATGTGTCGCACATATAAACTCACTAGTAGATGGAAAAATAATTCACATTTGAATCGGAAAATGAACAAGGCGAATTAGCTGTGATGTTAAATTGTAAAATAAGACGAATACAAGAAGGTGAACTGCACACCAGAGTTAATAAAAAACCAACGAATTCTGCTAATAAATATTTAGACTTTCATTCATTTCATCCGTTATCTATCTATGAAGTCAGGCTTAGTTAAGTGTCTAACAAATCGAGCAGTAGCACTAAGTAGTACAAGAAAAGAACTAAATGATGAAATAAAACAGATAGAAGAAGCATTTGTGTCAAGTAACTAACTATCTATTATGTACTCCTCGCCAAATTATTGTTATGTACTGGTCGAGAATTTAATAGTCCTGACGCAAGAAAGACGAAATCAGAAGACCACTAGGTTTGCGATGATACTTCTATTTTCCAAACACAAGGAAAATCAAAATGTCACACAAGAGTGTGAGAGCAAAATATAAGAATGTCCGAACAAGTGTGTGAGGAAATATTCAAAATGAACAAATCAATAGACAGTCTTAACATGATTAGCTAATTATAATGGAATATCGATCGATATATACATAGCAAAATATATCAGATTGTCAAACAAACACACATATTATATGGATATATATATCACTATCCTATAAAATTCATTAAAAAGATCAAAAAGGCCAAAAGCAAAATGAAAATGATTGTGAAACTAATAATGATAACATAAATAAGAGAGCATATAAGGTGAGGACATCTGAGACCCTACGTAGGATTCTCACTAAAGCAGGAATTGGAGTGTCATTTAAACCTACAAACTCACTCAGGTAGGACAAACTCTGTAGGTTAAAGGACCCTGTTGATCCAACTAGACAAAATACTATTATTTTAAAAACACCATGCAATGACCGTGAGTTAGGTCAACTCCATAGGTCAGTTAAACTAGTAGATCGGGAGTAGTCAGATGGTCGGAACATAATAATTTATTTAAGGTAAGAATGTTAACTCCACGAAGATAAGTAATTTAGAAAAGAGCTTAGCGATTGCACTGCATGCATTATACACAATCCCACAAAACTGGGTGGAACAGAGTTAAAATTCTTAAGAGGTGGAGAGGAGACAGTGGTTGGTTAGTGAATCCTGTCTGGTTCATCGAGTCTACACCTAACACATGCAATAGGAATGATTCATCACTCATACTGCAAATATGGAAGATATTATTACCAATCAAACAAAGCGGTGAAAAATAATAGAATTATATAAATGGAGTTAGAAAGTTGTGTGTGAGTAGTGCCTTGATATGATTATGAGCGGTAGTGATAAATTGGGCTGGAAACGTGATCGCATCAGTAAATATTACTGTATAGCAGACTGAGAGACTTTATCTAAACAAAATTTTACCCACAATAGAATTATACTCTACCACCACCACCACCACAGTGCACAGGTTCTATTCTTATATATCAATCAAAAACGTGTTTCACATTTTGGTACATTGGAAATTTGTCCAGTAACTTGTTGGAAACAAATTAACAATAAGAACACAGTATCTATGAGGAATGGCAGTCAGTTTCAAAATACGGTAATATCTCAATTCGTTACAGTGTTCATACTCAACTGTTTCTTTCTATTCACATATTTTTTTTACCTTTCTCTTACCGTTGTTTTTTCCTTTTTTCATAGTGTAAATTAATTCCACGGCACTATTTTGTGTCTGGTAGTTATAAGTGTGAATGTCGTCAAGGCTTTGAATATCCAATGAATGATAGAACATGGTATTTTCATGGTGAAATGATGGAACGTGAATATCAGTTGATGCTGGCTGGTAAACCAAATCGTTACGAACTGTTACGATGTCGTCAAGGGTTTGCAAGTCGACTGGCTGGTCTATCACTTCTGACGATTGGATTTATTAATTTCTTATCGATATTTATTTACTTATTGTGATCATATATATGATTGAATTCTGATTTCTGTCTAGTTATTAGTGGGAATTGGTTGTTTATTGATTTACGAAGAAGAAGAAAAACAAGACACAACAACACCTGAATTTGTATAATTTATTTTAATATTTTGTTTTGTAAATACAAAAATATTTACTACTTATTTCTAATTATTAAAGTAGTACTGTAACGACAGAAGACAAGGACCAGGCAACAAGTTGTTTATTCAGAAAATCAAGAGATATTTATTGATTTTTATGTGCGTTATTATCAGCGTTATTGTTAGCAGAGAAGCAGCGTCTGCTGATTGGTTGTTTCCTCGCTAGCCATTTCTTTGAAGGTCAGACCATATATACCTGCTAATCGTATCCGCCCACGCTAAGTCTGCTGTGATTGGCTGTTGAGTTAGTCTTTGTTTTTGTTTGTTTTTTCTCATGACCAAGATTTGGGACGTAAACACTGACGTAAATTGCCGTCTACCAATTTCGACCAGCAGACAGCTTTCACCACAGTGCTAGTTTCTGAGATGACGAAAATAAGAAGGAACGCTGCATTTTTTATGTTCTCCTGTGTGTACGCATCAAATACTCATTGGTGGGAAAGTTGATCATTCCAGAAGCGATGAATAGATGGAATCGTCTGTTTAGCTAAATCTAATGAAATTCTGTCTGAAAATTGCTGATAAGTGAACAAAGAATATTTTTTCACGATAAAATCTTCTTCTGGTTGCACAGTTATCAACGTATATTGATTCGGCGAATAATTAAAACCAAATTCTCAATTTGCAAATTAATTCGCGAGGTGAAGTTTCAACAGAGTTCGAAATTATGCAGTTAACAATGTGTTATCTTCTCAGTCCTCCTTTATGGCTGTGATAGAGACCTGGCCATTGAGAGTGGAAGACATGAAAGGCTTGGCTAGCTGTCATTGATCCTAGGTGTCTGCGTTTTATCTCCCGTATGAAGTGGTAGAGTGGAGTGAGCAATATTGAGGGGAAATCAATAGACGAGGCTGTGAAGTTACATCGACTGAGATGGTTAGGACATGTTTTACGCATGCCTAGTCATCGCCTTCTTCGACGGGCAATTCTAGCTGACATAAGATGGATCAGGTCGTATAAGAGCTAGCGGCGGTCAAGCCAAAATTTGGCACCAGTCAATGAAATCCACTGCAGTTAGTTTAAGTCACGTAGGAAGGTATAGACTTCTTGGTTGAGGTCCTCGGGACTGTAAACACCAGTGGCTGGAGACAATCGGTGATATGGCTCAAAATCGTCCTCAATGGATAGCGTAGATGCATCCCCTCCTTGTGATTTATAATTTTCAATGTAACTATATTGTTCTTCATAATTACTATTCCTTTTGTCTCATATCCTTGTCTACTGTCTCTATTTTGCATTTCTTCTCCTGCTATGTGTGCTACATGGAGGGAGTGTGGCGACTTCATCTGTTGCACATCGGTGCAAAGTTCTGTATCGAAAACAGACGGACATGTTATCTGCTTGAACTCTGTGTGTGTGCGTGTGCGTGAATCGCCAATTAATTTGCAAACGGGGAGTTTGAATTTAATGTATTGCAACTTGGCCCAGAATTTAATTGGTATCGGCTGATTCAGTTCTCTAGGATGAGTCGAAGTAGTTACAGCTGTGATGATCTCGGCCTTAAACTAGCGAAACGACCGTCCGATGTCTATATTACTATTATCTAGATGGTTAGCAAGCGCTGCTAGCTGAGATATGATTACTATTCACCCACTGAGCTCAATTAATCAGTAGTACATAGTTTTATGCATTTTATGCTTGTTTTCTTGATTACCTACCGTATTGTGATCTGAATGATTTTGGTTTCCAAAGGAAGTGTGATGACAAAATCTCACCTCCAAATTGGTTTGAAAATTAAGAATTTAATTTAAGGTGTCACCAGTCCGCTTAAATCTGTGACAGGGTATAAATAAATAACCAAGTACAAATTAAGAAAGTTAAATGTTTTTAATATACTTGGTTTGTAAGGATTAGTTTTGTGTTTTCGAGTTGATCACGAATTGATATCAACTAGGGAACCATTAAATAGAGCAGGGAGTACCAGACAGACAGCTGTTTCATCCTGTGTTTAGGAATCATTGGCAGTACACATCCACCGCCAGACTTCGAACCCACGACCTTCCGGTTACAAGGAAAGCCAGTTCGCATACAATTCAGCCACTGGAACCCACTTCAATGGCCAGCTCATAAATTCTAACTTCTACCAATCCGTGATTTAGTGCGACCCCAAGCAATGTCGTCGGTGGGACATTCATCTCAGTGAGTGTGAACTGATAATGAGTCCCAAGTTAGGATGAAACAGCTGTCCTGCACTCTCTAGTTTTCACTGGTTCTCTAACTGATATCAATCCGTGATCAACTCGTCAAAAAAGATGTTGGAGAGAGTTGGCCACAGGAAGCTTTCGACCCAGGTTTCGTGCTAGTTGGCATTCATCAGTTAGCAAGGCGTATCTGAAACCTCAAAGGAAATCATGTCCCTTCTGAGATTTGAACCCAAGTCACCCTGTGAGTGCTGTAGTTAGTGACGTTATTAATGAGCTATTCAGGTTCGTGATTGACCTCCTGTAGGACTGTCTTAGATACTTTTGATTGGACACTAATGACTAGTGTGATTTGTCTAGTCCTTGATTAACTGCAGATTGAATTCTGTCAGTCAGATTTGCAATGTGGCTAACAACATACTTAGTTAGTGTAAGGTCATACACAAGAGGTATAAGACAATAAATACTAGTAGTGGATTTATAGATTCCTAATTAGGCCAGAGTATCAGGAGTGTGGCTGAACGCGTTTTCCTTTTAAACAGAAAAGTTACAGTCTCTTTTAATGAATTGCTTCGGCCTTTGTTTTTATTTAGAGTATTCAGAGCCTATTTTCGTTTGGCAGTTTACTTTTTTTTGTTCAGCGAAGAAATTTCTTTTCAACGACTTCATTTTCAAGCCAACTCTACAGTCGTATTTATATTACAGGAAAAGGTTATTAAGTGGCACTAAATAATTGCTCAGTCAATTTACGTATATATGTGATAAGAATAACGATAATGAAAATGTTATAAGGGGTAGAGCTGAAGTCGATAAATTACAAAATTATTAAAGATTGTTTTATAAGTGAATTGAAGTCAAAAATGTCAAGTGTTGTCGAAAAATTTTAAAAGTCAGGAGTACGATAACGATATGAATTAAGATGTGAAGTGAAGTGGAAAGAATTCAAGTGGTAAAATAAAATAAAAACTAGAAGGAACATTATTATGACCAAGGTAAAGAAAGGGGTTTGACAAAACGCTTTTGAACACATAATTTAGGTTTCTGTTCATGTATAGCTAAAGCTTAGGCTATGCATAAGTGAAGAAAACGTAAACTTTTGGATCGATTGGATTTTGCCATGTATATAACTTTGAAGGATGAATCACGTGGGGCTAAATGACCAGATTCTAACAGGTGATCACAGATAGACGACTTTGCAGTTCTACGTTCGCCTTTCATTAACCAAACCGGATAGTGTTCAGTCACACGTTTTCGGAGATTACGCTTACAACGTCCAATATAAACAGCTCCACAAGAGGAAGTAAAAGAGTAAATGCACATAGATGTGGACAAAAGCGGTAACCTATCCTTGACGCATTGTCTGATCATATTTAGTCTGGTAAAAACTATCTGCAGGTCAGCTGCAGGAAAAGTGCGTTTAACACATTTAGATAAACGATTTTTAATCAATTCAGAAATAGTGTCACCTTTGAATGCTAGACACATAAACAGTTTTTTCTTTGGTACTGTGATTTGTCTAGGGAAGGATTCTTTCTTGATGTTACGTTCAATAAACCTTGTAGGATAACCATTGTTAAGGAGATTGAATCGAAGGTTATCTAGTTCCCTATCGATTGTCTCTGCAGAGCAGATTTTACGAATTCTGGAGCATAAGGAATGAATAAGATTTCTCTTTCTCCCTAGAAGTACCCAACTGTTGAAGTTAGTGTACTGCCCAGTGAATGTTGGCTTTCGGTAAATCGACCTTAACAGCGTTCCATTCTCTCTTCTATTTAGCTTAACATCAAGGAAGCGAAACGAGGAATTCGACTCTTCTTCGACCGTGAAAAGTGAAGATGGGTGAGAACCATTAAATATTTCAAGAAGTTCGGCAGTTGAAGAGTCTTCATCACAAACAATGAAGGTATCATCAACATAAAAAAACTATCGATGGTTTCCTTTAGGGGGGGGGGCTTTTTTTCCACTTTTTCGATACACGATAGACAATAGAGTAAAAGATTCATTAATACTGATTTCATCGCCTGATTTGACCAGATGTGCTAATATCGAATTGTTCATGTTTTCAGTTATACATTTATTTAGCCATACTGATAGGTCTTCTCAAGCATTTGAAATCTTCTGATGAGCAGCTTTAGACAGTTGAAATCTCATTTCCCACGATATTAAAAGTAATATCGTTCGTTGTAAAATACCGAGATGAAACATTCAATTAATTGATTAGAATGATAATAATAATAATAATAATAATAATGGTAGCTTTATTATGAATAGTTTTAACATAATGTAAAGAATTTTCAGCGAAGTTTATTGCACGATATTTTTTCTTCGCCCAAGATCTACGAATAAAAAATATTGACTGAAGCGCAAACAAATCCATTACGTTGTCTTTTCTGTGTCTCCTTCGAGAAATACACGATGACATTTTGTTGAGTGCCAGTTATAAAAAGTTCAGGAATAGATTTTGTGAATGTAAGAAACCATTCAGGAACGGTCATCTCATGTACTGGGATGACCTCCCATCGAGGGTAATGCTTTTTCATATATATATATATATATATAGTGGCGACTTGCTAAACTGCAGATTGCAAATGTTTTAAACACACGCCAGAGTAAATAATAATAATATTTTTTCAAAATACTTGTGATACAGAATGGAATTCTCAGCACTTCACTACAGTATTGCGCATTCAGTTTGTACAATAA